GGGGGGGGGATGAAGCGGACAGGTCTCCCCCTCCACCCCCCCCACCCCCCCACCTTCCCCCAACCGCATCAGGAGGTGGGGGAGTCGAAACAAAATACAAGAAAGTGACGTTTGTTTCACTCAACAGTCCAAGCTTGTATTAAAAACAGTTCTTAAAACGGATTTAGTCCAAAAAAAAAGTGTTTTTTTTTCACAGCAGAGACGGTGTAATCGGGGGAAAAATACATTTAAGATGAAAAAATATATAAAATAAAATAAAAATGTACAAAAACAGTGAGTAAAATAGTACATAATAATCATAACAATAATGCGTGTTTATTATTATTGTTGTTTGACTCTACCTTGTCTATAATCCATCCATCCATCAACCTTTGAACGTGACGTAATCAAACATTATTGATCGCTGATTGGTTCATCCGCCTGTTTCCCTGCAGTCATTGTGATTTATATTTTTAGAATTACATTTTTTCTTTACCTGATTTATTTCTTGAGTTCTTGTGTTCAGACATCGGAGTGATGAGTGAGGATGAACGTCACTGACTGATGACTGAAAACTGAACGGAGCAATTTGACTTATCTTTGTCTCTGCGGCCCATGTGGGCCAGGTTTACAGAATCAAACAATCGTGACTAATGACGGACTTGATGCTCTGAGTCAGTGTTCAGTCTGGCTTGTTTTGAACAGAAATAACTTTTTGAAGCTTTTATTTTATTAAAGGTTTCTATTTTTTTTGGAAATTACGTTGATGTTTTTCCACATCGTCCTGCAGCTTCATGTAGAACACACTCTGATCCTCTGGGACTAGAACTGTGATCATGTGGACCTGACCGAGCTCGGACAGAGTGTGGGGGGTTTAGATCAGTGCTGGTCATTTGTGAGTGACCATCAGAGCTGACCACAGCAGGGCTGGAGCTGCAGTCAACACACACACACACACACACACACACACAGATACACGTCAACACGGCAGCAGGAGCCCCGCTGGTCACTGAGTGAAGGGACTGGACCTCAGACATGGCAGAAGGTAAGCTGGGAGTTGAGCTGCAGATGGTCGGTTCTCTGAGAGTCAATGGTCGGAGAGCCGGATCTCCAACCTTTGTCTTTGGACCTTTTTGGTGGATGAGTTTGGGGCGTGGGGGCGGGAGGTGGCATTAGGACCCCCCCCCCCTCCTCCTCCTCCTCACCCCAACGCTGTTTAGGGGGGAATAGGTTGCCAGCCTTCTTTTGTTTACCCCCTCCTCCCCCCTCCACCTCCTCCTCCTCCTCTCCCGCTCTCCCCCTTTGTCGTGCGGCTTCTGCCTTTCGCAGCATTTTGCATGAAAGTGGCGACCTGTGAGGACTCCCCCAGCCCCGAGGGTTCCACACTCATAAAGGAGTGAGAGAGGAGAGACCGGAGCTCTGGTACTAGTTTAGACTCAAAGAGAAGAAGACATGGGATCCGTTTCAAACCAGGAGTTCCCAGGTTCAGTATCGTGTTTTTTTTTTAAGGAAAACTTTTCCTTTGACTGATTGGTTTTTCTGACCGGACCGTGCGTGTGTTTGCAGTGTTGCGTTTACGTGTTTGGTCCACGCACGTGATCCGCAGGCCTCTGATCAATTGATTTGATTACATTTTTGATGGTGGATTCGATCTCACGGTTAATGTTTTGTATCTCACGGTTCCGACGTTAATGTTTTGTTTTGGTTTTTTTTAATTAAAAACGAAAAAAGCGCAAAGAGTTCGTCTAAGGTTTAATTGAGATTAATTGCAGAAATGTGCCTTTAAATGCAGCCATTTAGAAATGAACAGTTCTCGGATTTAAACACGTTGGTCGCCCCCTCACACAATGTTCCGTGGTTGATTTTTTTATTTTTCATTTTAATGCTGGATGCGCTTCCTGAGTGTCGGACCTGTGGCTCGGGGGGGTGGCGGGGGGTGTCGAACCCGGAACCTCCAGCCTCGGGTCACACTTTAACAGGAAATGTTTGTAAATGTAGTTCTGTCCCAGTGTTGTAACCCTCCGCCCCCGTTGCAGGAGTGTGCAGGACCGAGGAGGACGAGGGTCCGAGCACCGAGGAGGACTCGCCGTCGTTCCAGGGGGTCGGCGTGTGCAAGTGGTTCAACGTGCGCATGGGCTTCGGATTCCTGTCCATGAACAGCAGGGAGGGGGTGCCGCTGGACGAGCCGGTGGATGTCTTCGTCCATCAGGTAGGACGAGCCACGCACGCGCAACAGCGGTGTTTGACCGAACTAGAACAGGTGGAACCGACCGTGGTGTCGGTGACGGTGTCGGTGACGCCGTCACCTCAGCTGTTTCTCACGGGAGCGCGTCATCAGTGCAGGCCGCAAAAATGGAAACCAGACAAAAGTAGAAAAAAATAAAATCAAAAAACTTCTGTCTGAGAACTTTTTGACTTGATATATTAGGACGAGTTCTCCACCAATGACAACTGTGTAAAAAGGTTCACGTGGTCTCATTAACTGTGTGGTCAGTTTTGTTTTTGCTGCGGATCACGGCAGTCCGCTCCGTGCGCATGCGTCGCGCCGATACGGATCCTTCATCCGTGTCATTGATCCGTTGATACTGAAGCCGTGAACCGTCGATACTCACCAACGCCCACGTCACCTACACGGCAATCACAGTACACTGAGCCAATGGCCAGTGGCGGTCTTAGCCGGTATGGCGCCCTGAGCCGAGTGGGGCCACCCCGCCCCCACCAGGCATTTTAGAGTAGAAACAATTCTTATTACATACACGGAGATGTTGTTCCACTGTGAATTATGTAAAAAAAAAAGTATAATAATAATTAAATATATTTTAATAGTAATAAATAAACATAAATCACAGCAGGTCAACAAACTGCCGATTAATTTCCCTTTAGCCTCATGAAATAGTTTTTTCCTTTATGAGCTGCAGAGGTCGTACGATGTCGGCCATCTTTGTTGAGTACAGTGGCCAATCCCGTCGTTAGAAATGGTTTTAAAGTAAAGAAAGCCTTGGGGCAATAACAGATTCAGTCCGTACATTCATTACGTCAGGGAGTGAGGAAACCTAATAATTAAAAAATCTTAAAATAGCGCCCCCTTTAGCTCTGCCGACTGCTATCTCTCAGTCTCAGAACATTCCACTTTATTTAGTTAAGGTTTTTCTCCCAGTTGATGAGGGTTTAACCTTAAACCCCACTGGTGTTTGGGAAATGGAAGGTAAAGAAGGGGTAGGTGGAGCTCTACCTCCCGACCCCCGCTCACCCCCCCCCCACACACACATACACACCACTGCCCCCTATCTCACGTGAGTGTGAGCCTCCTCTGCTGTCTGATAAGATAAAGGCTTAGCATGTGAATGAGAGGAGACTCCACTGCTGCTCATTCATCTCAAGGTTCCTGTCATAAAGTGATTAAGAGCTTCGGCTGTGTGTGGTAAAGTGTAAAAGCTTTCAAGAGCGGGAGGGGGGGGGGGGGGGGGGGGGCAACTGTGGCTTTGCTGTAGGCAAATTTCCTGGCCCTCCACATTACAATGACACCAGTCTCCCTGCGGGCCCTCTGACCTGCTGGGCAGACATTCTCTCTCTGCAGTGGTTCAATCTGTGGCTCTCGGTCTCACTTTCCTGTCGGAACCGTCTTGTTTCGTCTTGTTTCCTTTTCCTCGCGCTCGCTCGCTCTTTCACACCGTGGTGGTGATGCATCGATGGTTCTGAGAATGAGTTGTAACTGAAATTGGGTTTGAATACAAATTAAATGAGTCACTGTTGAAAAGTTCAATATGATGTGAAGCGGGAACAGAAACCTACGGTTGGCTCGTCTGCTGATTCAGGAAGTCGATTGGTTTGAAGAAAAGAAACCGTAGATAAATGGCAGCAGGACGGAGCGTGAGCAGTGGATGATCTGGAGGTCCAGTCAACCTCCCCACGTTTGTTCTCCATCTGGATAAAGACCCGATTTTCCTCCCTGTCACCGCACATGTTCGCCGCACGCGTGTCAATGATGGATGGAAATGGGTTATGGCAACGAAAGAGGCCTCAGCCCAGAAATTAGTGGCCGCGTGTCAGGCAAAATTAACTCCCGGGGTCCACCAGGCCTTTGTACCAGTGGACAATAGAGCCATGCATCTAAAGAGAGCAGCCCTCGGACCCGGCCCGGCCCCTCTGTGTGGAGGCAGCACCCCTGCTATTGTCCACGGCTGCTCTGATGTCTTTCTTTAGCTCGCTGTTCCTCCAGACACACACACACACACACGAAGGAGGCTGCAGTAAAACCCTGGTGAAGTACTGCAGTAAAACTCCATGGTGAAGTACTGCAGTAAAACTCCATGGTGAAGTACTGCAGTAGAGTACTCAGACATCCTTCCTTCCACGGAGCCATCCGTGTCTCACCATCATCCACTGCCCACAAGAAGTGTTTGTTCCTGGGTGGTGAGAGTAACTGGTGGGGGTGGGGAAAGGTCACACATGGGGAAAGGAAGTGGGTTAACGGTCACTGGAGTAGAGAGGGCCCTGAAGGGAGCGGGGGTCCCGCGGACGCCCGTCCGTCTTGTCGCTGCAGTGTCGCCGCTGGTCAATTGTTGCTCTGCAGGTGACAGATGTTCAGCCTGGTTCTGTGGAGGACGACACAGACGTCAGTGACTCTGGACTCTGTGGGGTAGTTGGATGAACCGTGGTAGTTATTGTTGTCCCTTCAGTTAACCAGGTTAGCCCTCACAGTCAAAAGAAGAAATCTTTACCCAAATGTTTGGGCTTTTGAATGGTTTCAGGACTGTTTTCACTTTCTTTTGAAATCGATTGAAATTCTCAGCAGACTTGAACGCACCAATTAATTGACGTGCAAAGCTAATCTTTAGAGTTTGTTAATCTAATACAGGGGTCCCAAACCTCAGGCCCGGGGGGCATTTCTGGCCCCAAAATCCTTGACATCTGGCCCGTGACTAGATATCAATAATAATTTGATTTTTGCCCCTGGGGTAAATTTTCTTCATGGGTATTTCTATTTTATATATGCTTGTTTGTACTGTTTTATTAAGCAGTATTTTTATTAAACTTTTTTTTTCGAGTTGAGACCCCTGCTCTGACGTAAGGCCATCACTCATATTTGATTCCACGTTTAGATTTTTTTTTTAATTAAAACATCTTTTTTCTTTTTTTAACCATAATTTAGTTAACAGTATTGATTCTGGCTGTGGTGTCGTTTGATTGGCTCAGTATTTGATAGTAAATCAAAGACTACTTTCATACATGACACCAGGTCTGGTTTAATATGAAAAAATACAGTCATTTAATTCAACATTTACAGAGGGAGAGTCTATTTCCTCCATTGGTTTGATGATCTTGTAAAATCCTGAAGACGCCTGAAGTAACCAGGACTGACGTCCTTCTGTTTTAAAGACCTGTCAGTGCAGAGAGGCGTCTTTTATTTGACACCGTCATCAATACAGTCACTTTATCTCAAACAGTTAACATTTCCCAAACACAATGGGGGTTTTTTTTGTGTGTTTTCAAATGTAACAAACCCTGATTGATAAATTAGTCTACAGGCAAGAAAATGATCTGATTTGTCATTTGTTCATCAATCAATTCTTTTTTTCTTTTCTTTTTTTGGTTAGTTATTTATTGACGTGATTTTGAGTGAAATACAAATGAGCTCATTCACTCATCAGGAAGGTGTTTTCACTCAACTTTTATCATTCATGATTCTCTGCCAAACAACTATCCCAAGAATGTCTCCCTGACCCCCGCCACCCTCACCCCCCCTCCAACCTCCCAAAGAAGCTCTGCTGCCTTCTCACCCCACCCCCAACCGGCACTAACCCTTGCATCCTGCAGTTTAGGGTGAGCACTGATGGTCAGTGTGTTAGTCAAACTCTGATTTGAGTGGGGGTGGGGGAGGCAGTGTGGAATGCTGTTCCTCTGGAGCCGAGGAGGGGGTAAGGGTTATCCTCATCAGCTTTACCTTTCAAACACGGAGCAACAAAAGGGAGAGACAAAAGCAGCAGAGGGAAAAGGTGCACCACCGGGGCAGGGCTTTGAAGAGAATGTTTGTTTTATGGAGCAAGACGTAAAGATCACCTGAACGCAACTCACTCCTGATAAAAGGCCACCACTCTCAGGGTCTCACGGGGAGGAGAGGGTCTCATCTTTTTTATTTATTTTTTGTTTCCTCTCTGTGGTCACGTTAATTCTGAGTAGAATTGTGTCTTGATTTATTTTTATGCTTTTGTCACAGTGAATTGATTCCCTTTAACACAAAGCAGTGCCATATTATTAGATTTTTGAATAGTGTTCCTTGTTGTTAATGTGTAGTTTATTTATTATATTAATCCTGTTGTTTGTTTATTTATAGC